TGAAATCCAAAATTGGCTGCGATCAAAGAATATTAGCTTTGAAGACTCAATGCTAAGAGTACAGCTACTGAAAATTTTCAAGGAGCGCAAGCTTGAATACCAAAAATATACAGTCGATGAGATGGCAGCAGGCCGAAACAAAATTGTCCTTCGCCTGCCTCCATACCACTGCGAGCTCGATCCCATCGAGTTAATATGGGCGGATGTGAAGAATTTTGTAGCTCAGCATAACACCACGTTAAAATTTGCAGATCTCAAAGTACTTTTTGATGCTTAGGGGTCAAATGTCATCGTCTTCGATTTCTTATTCTTTGTGTGTTTATTCTTGACTTTCAACCGACTTTTTTGTGTTGACATTTCTGTGGTTTAGCTCTGTGGTTTCCACCTCACGAAAAGAGAGGCTGATGAAATAAATCAACAATCATACTTCATCTACTTACTAACTTTTCATTTAAACACGTGTGTTGTGCTTCAACACAGTACTGATAGATTTTGTTTGAAGCGTTTTTCGACTCTAGAAGCTTCTGTGAGACAAATAGTGCGACCCTCAACTTCTAATGCCATATGGGCAAGTGGCATTTCTGCTCCACATTACAGCCAGTTGAAGAACACTAGCTTCCTCAGCTGGACCACAGCTTCCGCTCTTTTTGAACTATATATCTGCCTTTTGTAGGAAAAATAGTAGGGGTTTCAATTGAGCACAACGAAGTGAGACAACATCAAAGATGATCCTCAATTAGTATTCCCAAGTCGATCCCTAACACTCCTTCCTTGTACCGTCCCCTGATTGATCTGATATGTTTATTATTCCTGATTTTTTTCATAATCCTTTCTCCTCAAGACCCATATCTTCTTTTCATCGAAGTCATTGGTCAGTTTTCATTTTAAATAAATTTTCGGTCCACTTGTTCAAATATGGTCAGATTTCGCGTCAACGTAGCTGATTTACAAAAACTCGTAGCTTGCATTTTCGCGTTCCCAGTATTATAACTCATCAACAGGATATGTTTGTTTAGTCTAGTGTGAACGTAACATATCCTCCATGATGCCGCCAAAGTTCAACGGTCATAAATTGAAAACAACGCTTAATCTGTTGGAAAAGTATCGATACCCAAAACTGGATAACCGAGTTCAATCTTTATGAATAAAATAATACGTTACGTTACTATCGCAATGGCAGTTATAACACCTTCACTGGAACATCTACTTTACTCACCAGATCTAGAACAGTGTGACTTCTTTATGTTCCCCGAAAGAAGCTTTGAAAGAATCAGGTTTGATACAGTGGAAGAGTGAAGGAGGGTATATTAAAGGGGATAAGGTTGAAGTTTGTGATGTTATCCTGTACGTATCAAATTCTTGTACATGAAGGATGTTTGAAAGTATGTCGAGTGAATGAAATGAATCTTCCTGTATATTTTCATTAGCTCTCTATCTCGCAATATCTACGTAATAGATGCAGATGCATTCCAGACATAAATCTAAATTGTCTCTGGTGGAAAAGATCCCTTTGTTGAATCCAACCCGAGGATAACTATCAATTACTCAAGCGTTGCTGTTGGAGAGGAAAAGCTACAAACCCGAACAGTTTTCTTCTGTTTTCAATTACGGTCAGAAACCCTGAACAATAACTTCTCCGGGTAGTTTACGGGGTGAAAATAAGCTTTATAGCTTTTTCTCGATATCGGGCTAGTTCCCCGGAGTGGTGTTTCATTTCACTTTGATCGACGTGAGAGAAATCAGATATTTATTTTCTGATTGATTCGGCCGTTACTTGATGAAGATCCATAGTAATTTCACAAACTACACTTAAACGATTTGATCTCCACTAACTTTATTGAAAATAATCATAACATGTTTCGCTAAAACATTAGCTTTTTCAAATGATTAATTATTAATCATTTGAAAAAGCTAATGTTTTAGCGAAACATGTTATGATTATTTTCAATAAAGTTAGTGGAGATCAAATCGTTTAAGTGTAGTTTGTGAAATCAGATATTTATTCCTGCTTTTATTCCTGCAATATTCAAGTTGGTGCGTACTGGGTTTTATGTCACTTTTTACGAGGTCATTTCCAAGAAAAATGATGGAGAATGTCGTAAAGAGTGATTGGAAATTTTTGGAAAACCTGATAAAAACAAAATTATCAACACAATGAGGCCTGGTTCACAAAGAACCGATGGTCAGCGCTGTGGATCTGTCCCAGCGTGTGATAGGGCGACCAATTAAAATGAGCGGTCCTTTGTCGAGCCCGTGGATGATGCGGATCATCCAAGAAGTGGAAGCAACTAACTGAACGGATGTTTCACAAAATGATATTCTTGGAAATACCAACAGATCTTAGTCAAATCCATTTACTCGGTTTATTCAATGAGATTCTCGTCGTAGCATCGCCTTGTCACGGTAATGCGGGGCTCTGCCATGATTGACATTCTTTCCCTAGCTACTCGTGGGACTTTTATGAACAGAGTAAACTTAACTTTTTTTCTGACGCTGAGTCTACAGAGGAGATGGTAATCGTAGCATAACATTTGTGCGTGATGCTTCGCAATAGAATTTCAGAACAAATCGACCTTCACTTCTTGGTACTAAGAAATTGATTTTGGGCAAAAAAACCGTACTGTCAATATTGTTATTTAGTAATTTATGCAGGAAATTTATACCAAGGATAACTCTCCTATTTGCCGAAGATGTCATATAAAATCGTGTCAACAAAATGTTATGATCGATGCCTCTCATGGGGTATTGTCAATCAACTTTTAGACATAAGTATTTCAGGAACTTCCTTTGCACACTCTCAATTGATGTTTTTTGGTAGTCGTAAAGTGGATTGCATAACACAGAGCCATACTGTAACTTAGATTTGGCATACGCAAAATATAGCAATTCCAAGGTGGCAATACTTTTGAAGTTTTTGCCATTTCTGTAAATGAATTCAAGCATCCTATTTGCACCAGCACTCATATTCCTTATATGTGTTGTCAATGTTAATTTACTATCGTATGTTATACCAAGATATTTTATCTTTATCTTATATACGCGGTTGATTGTAGTATGGTTGATTGAATAATCGTACATCAAAGTTCGTTTTTTTGTTGTAAATGATATTATTTTACATTTGGATACGGTCTGTTGTAGACGATTATTATCACACCAAAGATTGATTACATCTAATTCATGTTGCACATGTTGGTAGTCAGTAATGTCGTCGATTTTATAATATTGTCGTCTGCAAATAGTAGGCTAGGAATATTCAAAGAGGTTGCCAAATCATTAATAAAAATTAAAAATAAAAAAGGTACAAGAGTAGAACCCTGTGGTACCTCAGATGTAACTACGTGCTGAGCCGATTTGAAAGATTCATATTCGACGAATTGTTTTCTGTTAACTAAGATATGATTCAATTATAGTAAGCAGTTGGTTAGAGAGTCCCAATTTTGTTAATTTGCGTTTTGAAAGTCTAAATAAACAACATCGACTTGTTTTTGCTTGTCCAGGTACGTACAGAGACTTTGATTCAAGCATGCAAGATTTGTCATACATGATATTTGTTGTACGAAACCATGCTGAGTGGGAGAAATAACTTTTTGAATATGGGAGTACATAACATTTTGCACACGTATCTCTTCGAGATACGTGTGCAAAATGTGCAAAATGTGTGCATATCCTGTTGATGAGTCATAATACTGGGAACTCGAAAATGCAAGCTACGAGTTTTTGTAATTAGCTTTGTTGCCGCGAAATCTGACCATATTTGAACAGGTGGATTGCAAATTTATTTAAAATGAAAACTGACCAATCAGGAGACGGTACAAGAGAGGAGTGTTAGGGATCGACTTGGGAATACTAATTGACAATCATCTTTGATGTTGTCTCACTTTGTTGTGCTTAATTGAAACCCCTACTATTTTTCCTAGGAAAGGCAGATATACAGTTCAACAAGAACGGAGGCTGTAGTCCAGCTGAGAAAGCTAGTGTTCTTCAACTGACTGTAATGTGAAGCGGAAATGTCACTTGCCCATATGGCATTAGACGTTGAGGATCGCACTGTTTGTCTCACAGAAGCCACACTTGGTACATTGGTATATTGATCTATTTGATCGAAGGCGTTTTGAAAGTCTAAATAAACAACATCGACTTGTTTTCGCTTGTCCAGGTACGTACAGAGACTTTGATTCAAGCATGCAAGATTTGTCATACAACCCCTTCAATTCAGTTTAGAAAAGTTACATAAAATTGAAATTGCCCTGTAGTTTGTGATATCGCTAGAGTCGCTTTTTTTCAATATCGGACAAATTCGAGCCGTTTCCCACTGCTCAGAGAAAGCACAAGTTGATAAAATTAAGTTGAATGTGCATATTAGAGGTTTAGAGAGATCGTCGATACAGTCCTTTATCACAAGACTAGGAACATTGTCAACGCCTGCGGTGTTTATTTCTTAATTCTTTTGAAGCAGTAACAATATCGATTTTAGAGAAAGCAGGGATGTTTAATGTATCTAAATCAGAATCATGAGAATTTTCACGATGTATATTTTCGTCCAAAACCAAGTATACACTTTTGAAGTACTTGGCGAATCCCCAGGCTTATCACCAAGTTTCATTATACCCGGTATACGCGAATGACCTTTTTTACTGTGTATAAAAGACTAGAAAGTCGAGCTGTCAGATAAAAAATAATTTTCAGCTAAGTTTGTGAAGTGACTATGTGCTGCTTTTATTTCAGTTTTGACAGTTTTTCTCAGATGCGAGAATTGATTTTGATAATTTGATCAATAGGATTGAAGAAAACGTATTTCAAAAATATATAGAAAATTTGAGTGTATCCTTTCGCGAATGTTGCCAATTGAAAATTTTTGATAATTTGATCAATAGGATTGAAGAAAACGTATTTCAAAAATATATAGAAAATTTGAGTGTATCCTCTCGCGAATGTTGCCAATTGAAAACCATGAAATAGTGTTAGATTGAATGTGTTAATAATGAAAACAGAAAACTCACCGCTGTATAGATTCCGCAAGCGTAACTCCCTTTCCGCACCGATCTCCAACAGCAGCAAGAATGTAGAATAGTCATTTTTCACACCTGTCTATCGATTTCATGAGTTTCGAAAACCATCTTCAGAACATCTCCTCATTTATTACTCATGAGAGTGACTATTGCTCTAAGCATGTGTATACCCAATATTTGCCTCACTGGAATAGGCATTGTTCGTCGTACAGATGAGAAAAAATTCAGGACTGTCGAAAAACACAAAAATGGCATTAGTTTTTTCATCTTGAGGAAGTGCTTTCAAAGATATAATAGCTGGAAGTTTTGTACTCTAGAAACTTCTAGAACAGTACCTCAAGGATCTGTCCTCGGCCCTTTGCTGTTTTTATTATATATATAAATGATCTGGCACTAAAAATTAGGGTAGATTTATGGCAAAGTTAAACAATGGTGTGATGCCATTTATTATCTTTCAATATATCAAAGACTACTATGATGTCCTTTAAATGTAACCTGGACCATATAATTCTTGAAGAACACATCATTGATCGTAAACTAGAGAATACATTTTTAGGCCTCAACATAGACACAATTTTAAATTTTGAACGTATAGTAGTATACTATGCAAAAAATTATCCTTGAGTTGTTATGCGATAAGGTCTATCTCTAATTCTTTGGACTATAACTCTGCTAGAAAAGCATACTTTGCACATTTCGAATCCCATTTGCGATACGAAGTTTGTTTCTGGGGGAGCAGCTGTCAAAACTCAATGAGTCATGATTTCACAATTCATTACCAGAGCTAGAGTTCAAGATTCCTGTAAGCCCCCTTTTTTAACTCATCACATCTTAACAGTCTACTGTGTCTTTAACAGTCTGCCTAATGCACAAAAAATCACAAAGATAACATCTAGAACTCAACTCAAATTTATGCCACTCGTCTCACTTTCAATAGTCCTCTTCCTATTCCGTCAACAGCACAAATTGAAAATTCTATTCTTTATACTAGCAAAAAATATCTCCCCTTTTTAAAAGCTTTGAACTCTGTGCGAGCAGTATCTGAAATTAGGTGGGGAAGTGATAGAGACATCGCAGTGCAACTATATAAAACTCTAGTGATGTCTAAGATGGACTACGGTTGTACCATATACGGTGCAGCTCGTTCTTCTACTCTCAGGGTGTTAGATTCAATCCACTGTACTGGATTGCGACTGGCCTACTATTTCCCGCTCAACCGGTGTACGACTGAAAGAGCTGTTGTCTTCAATGGATACCCGCTTTCCAGACACATACAAGCTAGGATTCTGCGAGTCTCCCCCGTGGGAAACGAAACCGATTGAGAGCAACTCAGAGTGCTCTGTATTCAACAAAGAGGAAATCAACCCAGCGGTGATCAGGGCTGAATTCAAAAGAACAATTGAAACATACCCGAATAGCCATATAGTGTACACGGATGGATCGAAGACTGAGCAAGGAACTGGAAGTGCTTTCGCATGTTTGGGATCGACCCACTTCTGGACCTTACCGAATCAAGCGAGTGTTTTCACAGCAGAACTATATGCAATCTGGCAAGCATTACTATATATGGACTTATGTAATTTTCATTCATACATCCTTTGCACAGACTCGCTGAGTTCTATTCAAGCAATTGAAAACTCTTTCAGTAAACATCCGCTGGTTCAAAGAATCTTAATACTTATGAGTTGTCTCCAGTCCAAAGGGCAATCGATTGTATTTTCAAAAATATAAACAGCTATATCAAAAATGTTTATACATGGAAGAGGTGATATTCCGTACATTTTGAAAATAGGTGAACATGAATCCCTAGATGGTATATGTACTAAAGTACGTAATTTGCGTTTTTGAGAGATGAAAACATCAGATGGTGAGGTGGAATTTCCCCAGAGACATAGCTTACCTAAGCCTTGAATCAATTTTGGTGCAGTAAATTGCTAGTAGCTTTGGCTCATTCAGAACATTTCGAACAGAAACAGAAGTTTCAAACGAAGAAAATTCAGGGAATTCAATTTGCCCACTAGTTCATTACAGTTCAAAATTTTGTATTGGCTTCTGACGATTGTGGAAACGTACCACCTCTGTTTTTTCCATATTGAACAATAAAGAACGGTCATTTAAAAAAAAAGATATATTATTCATCACATCACTACAATTAGCATTCAGTAAATTAGTGTCAGGTGAAGACAATACCAAAGACCAATCATCTGCATAGGCAACTTCTAAAAATGGATTCAATCTGATCAATGTATAAAATAAACAACACGGGTCCCAAGACGGAACCTTGTGGGACACCCATATTAACATCCAGATATTTAGATTTCTAGTATATTTCTATATTCTATATTTCTAGTATATTCTAGTATATTTTGTAATATTAGAGTTTATTCGTATAGATACATATTGTTTGTGGAATCCCTGGAAATTGCATGTCCACATTTGGAATTTTTTTTAACTACAAATGTTAATCACAAATGAATCTAATTGTGAAATGAAATTTATTGATGTGAAATTTTGAGTTTTACAAAAT